TTAAATTTATCCAGATTATCTATTGCATTGGCAAGATCTACTCTGTTGAGAGCTAAAAGGATTGGAAAGCGTAGCCGCAAAAATTCAGCAACCAATTTATGTACCCAACGCTCAGCATGATCCCTTTCCATCTTTGTTATGGCTGATAGCCTAGCATCTGTAATCCCTGCTGACTCAAATGCAAGCTGGATTAGAGCTTGTGAAGTGTGATATCCAGTAAACATGTCACAGAGTTTTGTTGGTTTCTTTCTTATTGAATCCCACTTGTCCATTATATTATCGTAAATCCATCTATGAAGCTCTTGATGAATCCACTCTACATCTCTAGTTGGATCATATTCTAGTGAAAAAAGAACAAAACCAAGTCATCAAAATGCTTCTTTTCTGTTTAGGTGGGGACTTAAAAAAATATAATTATTATATTATATTACTTAGCAATTAATGAATGAGGCTGAGTATCTTATGAAGAATTATGGAGATCGAGGAGGGATCTCCATAATTCTTGATATGATACCAAAGCCGAATTCAATAACTGTTTGATTATTCATTCAAAATAATTCCTAGTTTAAAAACATGGCTAAAATATGCTTACCTCCATCGATCCATCGATGTTAAGTTCATCTTCGATAGTGCACGTTTAGGGTTGTTCAGTTCCGCAAATATTCTCAAAATAGCAGATGTCGCCCTTTGAGTTGTCTTCTTGCCATTCTTGCCATGTTTTTAGCTATTTTTCGCCTAGTTCTTACTCTTGAAAGTGAAATGTCCGCCATTTTTCAAGTTCACAACCAAAACAACTCAACCTCGTCCCCAGGTCTTCTCGATTAACAGTGCGTTAACCTACATGAATGCTGCATTTTTGACTTCATTTCCACGCTAAACACAAAATTCTTCCAAATTTGGTCATCAGTAACTGGTTATGGTGAATTAAACGTGTGCTTTTAGCCAATCAGAATAGGGGAAATATTTTGAATGAATAATAATTTCATCCTGATCACGTGAGATGGTCACTTTGATACAAGAGTTTCTGACACCATAGCTGCAAGAAATAGTTGGACATTGGACGATGTCCAACTACAATATTGGCTTATGTCCAATGAATTTTTTTTAAATTCTGGTAAGGTCAGACATGATGTTCCGACAAAGTTTAAAATACCAAAGACTACCACTTTGCAGATAAATAGAATCTACCTATTCTGGAGGTGCGACAGTACATTTCCCATCTTGGTAATGTAACCAACTCTGACATGCAGCAGTGTTTTCATTAAGAATTCTAGTAGCAGGAGAAAGGTGTAACATTACAGGAGAATATTTTGAAAGAGGCCCACATCTGAGTAAAAAATATTTCAGCATAGTAAAAGGAGAATTCTCCAATGCCTAATGAACACCCTGCATGCAGACAGTTCTGTCTGTCCCTTTGCTGTCCATATAAGGAGGTTTGACTGTATTTTTTTATAAGAGACTGTTTAATGAGATGTTCAAGCATGAAGATTGCAAAAGTTACAACTTAACTATGTCTCTCCAAAAATTGGCGCCAAGAGTTACCTGTTGTGGGTTTTCCGTCTTCATCTGTCTGTCCAGAAAGGTCAATCACATGAACAAGAACATCAGCATCTAACAAATCACTTAAAAACTTGTTTCCTCGCCCTCTTCCTTCGCATGCACCAGGTACTAACCCAGCAACATCTTTGAGCAATACTGGTGCAAATCTTTCACCAGAAGCACTGTGTCCAAATCTGGCCTGACACTGGTGACTCCACCGTAAACAAGGGCACGGTATGGTATAAAAAGCCTGGCCAATGTTTGGTTCAATTGTTGTGAATGGGTGTGCTCCTATTTTGGCCATATTCTGATGTGTGGCAGCATTAAAGAATGTGGATTTACCAGCTGAAGGTTTTCCTAAAGAACAACAGATCATATTACTAAAGTTACCAAGAAAACCCACACACCCCCAAAGGGAATGTTGATTTATGCTAGCAAGGCTAAACTCAACTCAACTCATCCCATCCCATCTCTCATCTCATCTCATCCCATCCGATCCCATCTCATCCCATCCCATCCCATCTCATCTCATCCCATCCCATTCCATCCCATCTCTAAACTCACCTCATTGCACTCATTACCCGGAAAGAAAAGGGAGAGGATTTAAGACTGGACTTGGAAAAACGGCAGAAATTGAGCCTAAATTATACCCTAAGATCAAAATTTGAATTCTCATTTGTTGCCCTTATTCATTTCCTACAGAAGCGTGGGGAGAAGTTAACAAAATATCAAGCAAATTCATCTTGTGTGATCATGTCTGTAATTCTCATGACCACTCTGTTTTACAAAGCATTGATAATAATAAGGAGAAATTTGATGCTGATCACTCTTAGGGCTTAAACGGTTCAATTACCAATAAGACCAATAACAAAGTTCCATCGTCCCCCCTTCACATTGGCAGTTTCCAGCTTATACTTCAAATCTTGTGGCGTCAGTGAATCAGGACTATTTTCAGTATTCTCTGTTTCACAAACAGCTTTTTTCTCTCCCTCAGAGCTCTTGAACCTGACAGCATTTTCATTAATCCATTCTTTGGTTGCATCTACCAGACTAAAAACCATAGGCATTCCAACATATTCTTTGCATGAAACTCGTATAAAAGTGAGCAGGTCTTCTATAAACTCTTTCGGCATTGCATTAGAACGGTTGGGTATCTCAATTAATGGGATTTCATCTGGATAAGTTGGCGGAAAAGAGATCTTTAGCTGAAGAGATGACACAGAGGTGAAAATGTCCACATCATCAATTCTAATCATAAACGCTGGAGGAAATGTGCTGAGCTCCGAGAATTCATCTGGGAAGATAGACTTTAAACATTCTACTTCTTCTCTCTGTTCCCCAAGATAATCCATTTTGCAAGCAATAGTTTATTGATCTTTATTCATAAAAACTTTGCAGGTCAACAACCATCTTGGATTTCACACAAATGGTGCAATAAGAAATGAAATGTGATTGGTCGGTTCTTGAGACATCCCAGACGTCTTTTCGGCATTTAACACGGAGTGTTCAAGACAAGATGGCGGCTCGCATACTTTCTCGGTTGAATTGGGTTTCAAGGCGTTTTTATGCTGCTACTGCGGATTCATCAAAAATGACTTTAGCAGAGAAGGAAGCAGCAGAGTCCAAACATGCTGAATGTAAGTTTAAAATGTGTTAATAAGAGCGAAATATATCGCAAAAGCGATATTGTTGTCTGATATTTGGTCGACCTATTAACCATACGACAATTTTATAAACAGGATTAAAAGTCTTGGAAACTCTCCCTTCTTTCCTTCCAACTCGATTTTTAAAGACGTGTTTGAATAGGTCTCTTTTTAATAAGAACTAGCGTGTACCATACCAAAAGTCATTTCAACTAGCCGAAAGAAAATTTTAATGAGGAGGATTGATTTCAGTTCTTCAGTAATTTGAATTCCCCCAAAAAACTTCACTCACCCCACGGGCAAGTTAAGAACAGACTTGACTAGCCCAATAGCAAAATCCACTAACCCTGGCCACTACTTTCTTTGTATGCTGAGTTTGTCTTCTTTTTTAATAATTTAGCAACCATGAAGACATGGAAGAACATTTCAATTTTTGTGGCTGTGCCAGCAATTTTGATCTGTGCTTACAATGCCTGGGTGAAGGAAAAGGAGCATCATACCCATCCTAGGCCAGAGTTTCTTGAGTATCCCCATCTAAGGATTCGTAACAAGGTAAATTAAATGAAAAAAAAATGATCCAAATTGCTGTGCTTTTCAATAACATGCGAACTCTGAAGTTCAAATGCCAACTAATGTTTTCGTTCTTCATTGCCATCATTCATCTTAGCGGACCCCTCAAGAAACAGAAATTTACTTTCATTGATTTCAAAAGTTTATGGCGTGTGATTTGTTATTGGTGGATTTTGATCCATTTTGTGTGGTTCTGAATCTCGGTACCATTACTTGTGATGGTAATTAAATTTCAGAGTTTGCATGTTATTGAAAAGCACAGTAATGGTTATTTATTAACTATACACCAATCCCAGCTAAGGCCAGGCCCTAAATTTCAATCTGACATCAAAGTTAATGATAGACAAAATCTTTAAGATTGCACAGAGTAGGAAGGGAGTGTTTTTTTCTGTATTACATTAATTTCATTCTTCACATGATACATTAACAGCAACTTTTTGTTCATTGCTTTGCAACTTAGTCCCAAATGATACTCAAAATACCTGTAATAAAGCAGCTCTTACAGTAGTTTTAATGACACATTTCCCCCCGTTTTTTTTCAGTAAACAGAGTTCAAAATATAGACACAAGTAATCCCACCATCTTGTCTTGAATTTGTACTGAAGAAATTTACAGGAATGATACTTTTACTTTCAAAGATGTTGAAACACACAACATATTTCTCTTTGTCTGAGATTTGAATAAATTATGACCAGGCTTGTAAGTACCTAAGTTGACTAATATTCTGAGACATAAACCCTTTACAATAATTAAAAAAATCGTCATATTCTTCTTATTATTTGGGAATGACTTCAATTAATAGGAATGGATTGCATTTCATGTTAAAATTGAATACTTGAAATTGCGCCTGGTCGCTAGGGGTGCTTCCGATTTACTCACAGACGACTAAAATTAAAAGCAAGTAGTCCACACAAGCGTCTAAAACTTATGCTTCTTATGACAATAGCTTCTATGCCAACTTCAAATGAACAAACAACAAAATTCCCTGCTCATTCTGCACTTTTGAAACAAAAACTTAAAGCGTGTGGTGGTCGACCGTGGACAAAAATAATTCTGCAAGTAAAATTAAACAAACAAGCACTTGTCTTGAAATTGGCACCAGTGACCTCCACTCCCAGGGCTTCTGCTGCAGTACAGTTGAAGTTTCTTGTCTCAAAAAGATCTCAAATGAATTTTGTAGTCTCAGAAAAACTTTTGGTATCCCAAAAAAGCTTTTAGTTGGTCCTTTTTTATTGCTTAAGAACTTTAACTTCACTTTGCTTAAATATTGTACATGTAAGCATTGTTGATTGGTGTGAATGGTTGATTCATGCCTCTTGAAACTCAAACAAATCAAGTTTCGAGATGCATGAATCGAGTTTCGAGGATCTGCTTACTTACAGCAAAGGAGATACAGATACTGTCGATAAGGTCATCCTTGTTAACGAGGTTTAGGAACCATGGCTCCAGATCTTTTCTTGAAATACAATTGAGGTTCAGGAAAAGATTGGCCCCTGAATGTTTGCTGAACTTTAACTATGCCACTATTTATGCCCTAATGAATTTGAAGTTTATCAATCAATGGGTTTCTAGAAATGTGGCTGGGGCTCCTAACTTTTTACTTTGACTTTATTTTTTCTTATGCAGTAGCCTTGACCGGAATCTTCTAACCATAGCCTCTTTTGGAGTAAAGAATGTTGACTGAGTCATTTAATAACATCAATCAAAATTTCACCAGAGAAATATGCCACTATTGTCTTCTGTTGCTTCCAGTCACTTGCCTGTAACAGGAAAACTTTCTTTTCATTTTTTGAGGAATTTTTCTCTGCAGAGTTAAGTCACCTGCATTTTAAGAATCATCTTTTTGAGTATTGTAAATTCAGAGCTTCTTTATACCAAAAAGCACTTTTTTTATCACAACTGAATGATTTCTTGTGCACTGTAAGGTCAAGAGCTATGTTTGATAAGAGTACAGACCGTGGAAATGACTGGATGGTGGCACAATTTGGTTTTCTCTTTCTTGCACACCCAATTTTCCAAGAAACTTCAACGGAAATGGGCATCAAAATAATTTTGATACCCATAATAATTTTATTATTAATGTTATTGTAAAAACAAATTGAGAGCATGGTCTGTTCTCTTATGGACCATAGAAATGAGGTCAAAATTTTGGTTTTACTTTGCCGTAAAACTACTTGCCATTATAGTCATTTCTATGGTCGGTAAGAGTACAGACCATGGAAAATTGTTATCGATTTGGTAAGGTGGTGAATTTTTGTGGGGCAAACAAAAAATAATTGGTAAGTGAGATGTGTTGATCAGCCAACTGTCACCTGTTGTGCACATTCATGAACATTCCAATCATGACAATAACAAACCAAACAGCACTCCTCATTTGGAAGAAGGCTATTGTTGAATTCATTGCGATAATTATTATTTAGAACGAAAAGGAAATGTTGAGGGTAATAATTACTTTCCTAATAATATTGATTAAAGTCTTTCCTAAATAATGAGTGGAACATGCTAGGTATTTGGACTGTAATACAGTTGTGACTTATATACTGTATTTTGCAGGCATTCCCATGGGGTGATGGAAATCACAGCTTGTTCCATAATCCACACGCCAATGCTTTACCTACAGGTTATGAAGATGGCGATGAAGGTCATGAACACTGAGCACCATCTTTAATGTTTAAAAGGCTCATGTTCATCTTAGCTGTTTACAAGATGTGTTGATAAGTCGTTTGTTGCTAATTATGCTGTCTGGATTATTTTTCCACTGTGCATTGGCTCGTGGTCCAATTTTCTTGCTGTTTTGTAATGGAATAAATTGTAAACAGTTTGTGAATAAAAATTTAGTCCTACGTTTTTATGTGCATTGAATGTTTTCTAAAAAAATCCCAATGGAAAAGCTTTAAAATGCAACATATTGTGAAACAAAGCCCTCAGTCTGCTCTCATTACCTTGCAAAAATTGATGTAGTCTATAATTAAGATGCATACATTAAGCTTGAGGATGAGTCATTTGGTTTTGAAGTACATGTAAGCACAGAACACTTAACAATCATTTAAAGGAGGGCTCTCAGAACTTTCTCCATACCTATAGTCGATTAATAAAAGTATCGTTTTGAGAGTATCGAAACTTAAAGAAATTTAATGAAAACTATTCGACTCTTCGATATTATATAATAATAAGACTTGTCATTGGAGGATAACAGTCCTTGTAAAGGAAGATTGCATAACAGCCAAAAAGAATGTCTCAAAGAGGCTATCTAGACACAGTTTCACTGATGATATCCAGGGCAGCTCAAAGTCAGACTGTATTACTCCACTGCAACCCTTTTTTCAACCTAATTCTTGGTGTGACAAAAATTTTCAAAGTTATCTCAATTGAAGTCATATGGAAGTATTTCATTTGAATAGCCTGGAATTAATCAGCAAATTGAGATCATATTATGATATTCTTACTCTGTAACTTACATCATCCATTTTCCTTTATGTTTTTGTCCAGCTCTATGTCCAGAGCAAGGAAACAATATTTGGCAATTAATTTGTTATCGGATGAGGCTAAGTATGATATGAAGAATTATGTACATTAAGGACAGTGTTATCAGCTGAAGCCAAAAGCTGAGGTTGATAGTGTACACTCTGAGGTCTGCATAATTTATTATTCATATCATGCAAATGTTGAATTCAATAATAATACTAACATGATTAATAGGAATAAATCACTAAACCAGGAAGTTTTCTTGTCTTTTTCTCAGCCATAAAATTCACCTGTTAGCCCTTTTAGAACCTTTCATATTGACAGATTTCTCCACCCTTCACATACTTCATGCAGTGAAATCCTTACTCTTTAGGTACCCCTTTGAGGCAAAGTCTCCTTGTTTTGGTCATTATAGGGAGTTTGCTTCCCCTTCTGGGAAACCAAACCCTCCTCTTGGGGGGTACAGGCTGTGACCCTGTACAGTACTCCCTATAATGGCCTATACTGGGAGGCTCCACCCAAAAGAGATACCTTGTTCAGGCTTCAGGTACATGAAAGGGTACAGATTTCTCTAGTTTAAGAATATGAAAGGGTAGGGAAATCTGTCATTGCAGTCTGTAAAAGGTTCTAAAAGGGCTAAGTGACAAAATGCTTCCCTTTAAAAAAATCATGCC